GGGGGGGAAGCGGGGGGGGGCATGTATTAGGCCTCACACCCACTTGGCAGGACTTATCATCATCATCATAAACTTGTTCATTAAACATGAAACTCAGCCAACTGAACATTTAAAAATGTATCACCAATATCGTTGACTGGCACTGATGGCTGATGAGGGTTGCTGCCAGAGTCCTAGGTATCAATCAAGTAGTCTTCTTAAAATAATAACAATAGTTAATAATAATAATTTAATTTGTAGTGAGATTCACACTAATGGGGCTGATTGGTAGTTCAACAGCTCGAGTCGTAACCAAGGACCTAGCAACTGTTCAGGTAGCACTGGAGGATATAAACTTCCAAGTAGGGTGGTTTTTATTATTATTTTATTATTTATTTTATTAATATTATTATTATTATTATTTAATGTTTAGTGAGATTCACAGCCTTTGGGGCTGATTGGTAGCTCAACAGCTCGAGTCCTAACCAAGGACCTAGGAACTGTTCAGGTAGCGTTGGTGGATATAAATTTCCAAGTAGGGTGGTTTTTATTATTAATTTATTTTATTATTTATTTTATTATTATTATTATTATTATTATTATTATTATTATTATTATTATTATTTAATGTTTAGTGAGATTCACATCCTTTGGGGTTGATTGGTAGCTCAACAGCTCGAGTCCTAACCAAGGAACTAGGAACTGTTCAGGTAGCGTTGGTGGGTATAAGCTGTTCCAAGGGTATTCAAGTCTGAAAAATTCAGAACTTCCAAATAGCGAGGTAGCCCTTTAGGTATTGCTCCAAGGGCTCCAATTACAATTGGGATAACACACTATTTCTTTTTTTCCAAAGTCGCTCAACTTCAATTTGTAAGTCCTGATACGTTGTGATTTTTTTCTTGCTGAGTATCTTCAACTCGTGCATCACCTGGTATTGCAATGTTAGCGAACCAAACCTTTTTTCTTTTCAACTATTGTTATGTCAGGTGTGTTTTGGGCTAAGTGCCTGTCAGTCTGAATTCTGAAGTCCCACAAGATCTTGATGTTTTCATTCTCCAGAACCTCCTGAACCTGATGTATAGTAACAACTGCTGGGAACATCAGGTTGAGAAGGTTCTGGAAAATGAATTATTATTATTATTATTATTATTATTATTATTATTATTATTATTAT